GGGGGCGGCACCCGGGGAGGAGGAGGGGGCGGCACCCGGGAAGGAGGAGGGGGCGGCACCCGGGGAGGAGGAGGGGGCGGCACCCGGGAAGGTAGGCGTCCCGAATCCCCGAGTTTGGTGCAAAGCGCGTACTGTCGGGAGACGGGTTCAGTTCCCGGTTGGGGAAAGGGGCTTTTGCATAGGCCTCTCCTCCGCAGGAATCTTTTTCAACCCCGTTTAATGCAGAAGAGGGCGGGCCTCGCCCAGACTTGGAGAAGTGAGAGGCCGGGAGCAGCTGTTCAGCGGCTGGGAGCCCCCAAGGGCTGCATCCTGCTCTGGGCCACCGGGAAGAGCCACCACTCCTGCTGAACTCATCTTAGAAACCTAACCTTTCGCTTTCGAATTTTCATCTCAGGAGAACAAAGTAGTTCCTGGGACAAGAGCTCCAATCTTCCTTTTCAAAAAAAAAATTCAAACATAAAAAAGTTGAAAGAATAGTAACTTTATATATTCTTCGTGTACATTTACCAATGAACATTTCCACTAACAACAGCAACAGCAATGTAGACACTAGTCTTCTAGCCCTAGTCCCTTCCGGCTCGTGAAACAGGGGCCTCTTCATTTGGAGTCTGTTTCTGGAAGGAGAGACATTACTCCTGGAAATACAAGTTCTCCTGTTGTGTCCCCTTCCCAGTTCTATGAGCTCCTGCCTGACACTCCACCTTCTCTTGTTCTACCTTCAGTCTGAACTCCTGAAGCTGGGATTGAGAAGATCGCGCCTCCTCAGGCGTTCCATTTACTTTCAGTGCTCTGGTGAGCCCGGGTTGGAAAGGGGTCTAGAGGAAGGGGAAATGTGGGGCTGTCAGCTGGACAACGAGCCCCGCCACATCCACACCAACATTGAGAACTAATTCAGAGGTGGAGAGAAGGACCACTCATAGCCCCTGTGATGACCTGCACTTACCTGAGTTCCGTGAAATAACAGCGGTGTCTCAATCCCAGGAAACTGAGTTTAGTGACCAGGCATCAGGGAATGTGCCAGGTGTATTTGTGTGTGTGCAGGGGGCACTGTTGAGGTACTATGGGCTTCTTTGTGATAATCTACTGATAAGATAGCATCCAATAACGACAAACACATAAAAACCACACAATAAAATGATTGATTTAAAAAAATCAAGCCATGCTTATCAATTAAAGAATCGTAGAACCGTTCGATTATTCCTAAGATCCCTAGTTCAGCAAGATCTCACTTCAGGGATTTCCTCTAAGACATTCCTCATGAGGAGATATCTGCTCTGGCCTTGAACACTTCCAAGGACAGACAGGGTGCTCTTTCCATATGCCCCCCACTTCTGTCATTGAACCACTCTAGTTGTTAGACATTGCTCTCTGTTGAGTCCCCCTAGGCTTCCTGTGATCTTCACCCACTGGTGTTTATTCTGCCCTCTGTAACTCTGTAGACAAAGTCTAATTTCACTTCCATATGGTAGTCATTCAAATACTTGATGAAACTTGTGTTAATACTTGAGTTCTTCTTCTTGGGCAATTTTTCTTGATAAAATATTTTCACTTGTCGTGCTCTGAGAACTCTGGATAAACTGTCTCTTAGAAAAAAGTTGGTGTCCAGAAGTTCTCTTAAAACTGAGTTATACCATGACCAAGCAGAGCACACGGGCCTAATTTACTGACTTCCCTTGGCTCACTTGAGGAAACCCTGGTGGTGTAGTGGTTAAGAGCTATGACTGCTAATCAAAACGTCAGCAGTTTGAGTCCACCAGGTGCTCCATGGAAACTGGATAGCGCAGTTCTGCTCACTTGAGCAATTCCTGGGTAATTCCTCGGATCTGCTAATTTAGCGTGGCTTAACTTGCTCTCGTGAACTTGTTCTGGGCATCAGTACACATCTTCTCTAGGTGATTCTAGGTAGCTGTCTGATGAATATTAATTTAGTCTTAGTTTAGAAAAGATCAAATAAAATTTACTCTTCTATAGATATTAAATTACATTATTTTCATCATTTGCAAAATTTGACAATTGCTATTTTCTAGGCTTAAGGCAACTGTGATTATCTTCATGACTTCTTAATGTTTACCCTCATTGAAAAGCGGGCTCTGTCATTCTCCTGAATGGAGTTCACCTGCGTCTGGCAAATTGTTCTCATTTAAAACATTTGTATTTTCTCCTGCTGTCTTTTTACAAGTGATAGCTTTTCTGTTCTTTCCATGCATGTGATGGGAAGTCGGAACAGCCCCATTATCTGTTAGTATTTCTCACCTTGCCCCAGCAGTGGTCTCTCTTTTCTAGGCTTCTGGAACAGAGATAGCTAATACAGAAAATTTATTTTTCATCTTTTTCCATTCTGGTTTTATTCTTTCCTACATGAATTTTATTCTTTATAAGCATTCAATAAATATGTGTAATCAATAATTTTTAAATACTTTATTAATTTGATCAATTCAAATAAAGATAATGTCTGATGTGTCCCAGTCCACACAAGAAATGATGTTGCACACCCGAAAATGCTATCTGGGTTCCAGGCATCATGTTACAGGAATTCTTGATCAGAGTCAGAAGAGTGACTCTGAGTGTATGAATGAGGGGTTGCAAAGAAGACATCTGGGGCTGACTGTGCAGGACCTAGGAAGAAAGAGACAGAGCTGCAGTGAAGTCTGGAAGGACCTAACAGGATTCTCTGCATTATTGCTCCACACAGAAACTGACATTGTTTCCCCCTCCTAGTTCACACTCAGGTGGAAGTGGGAAAGGCAAGTAGAGAGACACTAAGCTAGTATCCAGCTGACAGCCAGGGATTCTCTGGTTATCTCCAAAGATGGTTGGATGGGATTACACGTGGATTTCCCAAAGCTACTCACTCCTAGAGCCGGGAGTCTGGGACATGCAGGTGGGACCTCATGAACAGACTGAGAATCTAGATTGAGAACAACTATTATAATTTTGGACTGTGTGGATCTGGGAAATATCTGTCCTCTTCGCCTTCCTCTCTTTGCTTTTGCCGCAGATAAAAGGGACCTGGAAGTGTCCTCAGCTTGGGGTTTGTCCCCTGTAAGCCTGAAAACTCGAATTTGCTGCCCTGAAAGTATTTCTCTTGTTGCAGAGCTGGGGTATGGACTCCAGGTCCTATCCATGGATACTATTCCAGAGAATAAAAATAACCAGACAAGTCACACATTTGGGTAACAGATGCTTTCAAGATACACTTTCCTGTACCTACCAAAGTGTCAATCCCAGCCAAGCAGAAAACCTGGGGACCTCGTGCACTGGACAACAGTGTAACGTGACTGAGGCTCAGTTTTTGCTGGGTGTACCACAGCAAACTACGCATTCTCACGAACAATATCCGTGCACTGGAGAACAGGGCTCCTCCCCCTAACTGGCTGCTGCTGTGATGTTGTAGGTATCCTAGCCATGGTTCTTCTGTGCTTGAGAAAGGAAGGGTTAGGGAAGTATTGGCCTGCAAGTGAGAGCATCCATGGAGAAGAGTGTGGGAATACCCAGGGAAGTGGCAGGTGATATCCCAAGTAGTAGCAGCATGAGGATGGGATGTGGTCTTCCCCCTGCTGAAGTGGGCACCATGGAGGCCATTATTCTACCACATGACAATCAGGCCACCAGCCTAGGAGCATCACCAGGCAGTATATGGAGTTACAACAATGAGCATGATGTCAGACAGCCCTGAGAAGGAGACCTTGTTCTGCTTGAGGCAATCACTCTCGAGCCTCAGTTTCCTCACTCATAAAGTGGGGACAATAGTATCTGCTCTGCTTCCCTCTGTAGGCTGATTGCAAGGAACAAGTGAAATAACGCACACCAGTGGTGTGCTTTAAAACTGTGAAGCTCTCCCCCGAGATCCCATGCACTTTTGAGGCTCCCTAGATGCGGACAGAAACCAATGATTTTGGCCCTTCCTACCTTTTCCTTGGTCAGCACTACTGAGCACGTGTTCCAGCCTCTCCTGCAGGCGGTCATTGATAAAGACAGATTTCTCCAAGCGCTGGCGCAGGCTTTGGATGTCAACAAGATTCTTCTCCAGCAAGTCGGACCCTGGTGCATATCACCAGAACGTGGGAGAGGTAAGAGATGAGGAAGCCTGCCCACTCATGGCGCACACGTAGGGCCTATCGAGGGCCTCTCTGGAAGATTCCTGCCCATCTCTATTCTTCTGTTAACTTCCTCCTCTCGCCTGGGCACTTTGTTTAAAGAGCTCCTGAGCTTTCAAACAGGTACATCTAAGGGAGGTGAACCCTGGGTTGGAGAACAGGGCTGGGAAACTGTTAGAGGTTTCTCAGTAGGACTAGCCCAGCAATGGGAAAGCTTGGCTACCTCCTGGGCATGACTTCCATAGCAATCGAGAGGAGCTATGTCTGTACCTCATGCCTTTCCTATCTGCTGATCCATGACTGAACAACCTTTAACGTCCTCCACTCGGAGAGAAAGACGAGCACAGCACGTACGAAGTTAAATCAAGCTGCTGAATAATGAGTGATGTTGAATGTTTTCCTTTAACTGCTTTTAGTGAAGAGGCACAAGGAAGAGCCTGGGAAGGTGTCAGGACCTGAAGGTGGAACAGGGGAAAAGGGAGCACCTCCAAGGAAGGAACAAGATGCACAAAGAGGAAGGGAAGGAAACCAAGGACAGGCTCAGGGACATTTTGCTGAGGGCATTTCAAATGTCTTGCTACCTGAGACCCAGGAACTAAGCTATTTCAAGCCATTTCCTTACACAGCTGTGCCCCTAGCCAGGGTTCCTGGCTCTGATCCCAGTAGTACAGTTTGAGAGGGCAGAATTGGCTTATAGTGGGTTCACAGTGATTATGTGTGTGTGGGTATGTGTAGGGGTGGTTGGCTCTGTAGAAATAGTCTTCCATAATACAATAGCTCTTAACCTAAGGAAAATCTTTCCCATGGAAGTCTGAGTTGGGCATTCTAAAACAGTCTAAAACTAGGCCTAAGAAGGCTGTGGCACAGAGAAGGGACACGTGAGTATGAGGTAGTTCATCCTCCCTGGATAGCAGTGCCTGAGAATGCCCCTGACCTCCTTTACTTTCCTGCCCAGGGTGAGTCCCTAGGCAGGGAGAGTGGCAAGAAGCACTTAGAAAGTCTGGCACTGAGCTGGAATCTCACTCTCTGGCTGACCCATAAGGACACTGCCCCTTCATCTCATCCACTCATCCACTTCTGTGAGCCAGGATCTAACAGAGGAATTAAAAAATCCCCTGGTTAGGACAGGGATGTGTTGTTCCTATCAATGGGCCCTATTTCACCAACTGCTCCTTGGTGCTTTACCTGAGGGTTTGGAGTTGGGCCTGTACAAAGAGGAGAAGGTCCATAGGTCCCCAGATGTGTTCATTTTCTGAGGCCTCATCTCATCCCATGGGCCACTGCTGCCATGCTGTCCAGGTTCCAGTGTCCTGTTGGGCAGAGTGCTGTGATGTGGTGTGGTGCCACTCAGAGGACAGGAGGGCTGGGCAGATCTGGCTCCTGAAAGGTTGCTAGGCAATGTAGCTGAATCAGCAGGAGTGGCAGGGCTGGCGTCTGTCCAGAAAGGAACAAGAGTGGGAAGCAAACAGGATGTCAGAAGTGAAGTGTTTTATAGGTGATCCAGGTTAGCCATGTTCACATCCTGGGTCTGAAAGATGACACAATTATGTTGCAGTGATTCGAGAGTGGTTTCCCCCTCCTTTTTCCAACTTGTGTCCCCGCCACCCCAGTCCAACACCATGTATTGATGAATAAATAAAACAGTAGGGATTTGGTGACCAATGACACATGGGACTAGGAATGGAGAATAGCTACCC